ATTATAGCACATTGAAGCCATAAATAAGGTGGAAATAAAAGCGAACCCAATCCAAATGGGAATGGGAAAATCGAGATGGTCATTTATTTAATTTTTCGCACGATTTCAGCATTTGCCGTTTGCTGGCCGGAAAAGGCCGCAGGATAAGAGAAAGCCAGAGCGAGCGAGAGAGCCATGTATGGTAAAGGAAAGAAAGACCTGGACGAGATAGAAACATCAGTTAAATGACCGCAATGGAATGGGAGGGGGAACTACGGAGAAAGTGCGGTGGAAGAAGAAGGAATGTGTGTACGTGTGTGTAGCTGGGGGTGGGAAATGGGAAAGTGGCAGCGTGTGAAGTGTCGGGCAAACAAAATGGGTGGAGGAAGTACTAAGAACGGGTTACACCGATGAATGCAAATAAAGGAAGAAAAAATTGGAAAAGGGAGGAGATGTTTTAACACACAAGATGAGCCAAGGCGAACAAATGAAATTATCCGAAGACACACAAACAATGTCACATGGATACTTTCACAGAAAAGGAAAAACTACTTAATTTTTGTGTTTTAAATAAAATTTAAGGTATACCGCTCAAGGTTCGGATGAAAATTGGCAAAGGTGTGGATACGTCTGTGGGCAATATGAGTCCCCATATATAAAACCCCCAATTTTCCAAAGGGGTCTCACCGGAAAAATTCTGAAAAAAATTGAAAAATATTATTGCATAAAAGTTTTTATGCAGATTGGTGGGAAATCGATCTACAAAACTTTTTAACTATTCCTCTCAAAAATCGGATAAAAATAAATAACGATATGGACATCACTGAGTGTAATGAGTCTTCCCCCTACATTCCCCAATTTTTAAAGGTGTCCACTAGAAAAATTGGTAAAAAATTGAAAAATATTTTTGCATGCGTGTTTTGATGAAGAATGGTAGGGAATTGATTTACAAAACGTTTAAGGTATTCCGCTCAAGGATCGGAGGAAAATTGGCAAAGATATGGACATCACTGTGGGCCACATGAGTCTTCCTCATGCATTTCGAAGGGGATCCTCCATAAAATTTGCCAAAAAATCTAAAAAATATTTTGTTTCTAGAATTTGATACAGATTAATGGCGCACCGGTCCACAAATCGTTTAGGGTATTTCGCTTAAGAATCGGATAAGTATTGGGAAAGATATAGCCTTCGCAATGAGTCATGGTATCCTCCCCATACATTTCCCACATTTTGAAGGGGATCCTCCCAAAATTTGACAACAAATTTAAAAAATATTTTGTGTATAGATTTTGATACAGATTGATGGTTAATCGGCCCACAAATCGGTTAAGGTATTTCGCTTAAGAATCGGATAAGTATTGGCAAAGATATAGCATTCGCAGTGGGTCATGGTATCCTCACCATGCATTTCTTAAAAGAGGAAGAGGAACCTACAAATCTAGAAAATTTGACAAAAAATATGAAAAGTATTTTGTATCTAGATTTTGATACAGGTTAATGGTGAATCTGCCCACAAATCGGTAAAGGTACTCCTCTTAAGGATCATATAAAAAATGAGAAATGCATACCATCGCCGTGGGCCATGGTACTCCATATTATTCCCCAATTTTCAAAAGGGGCTCACCGAAAAAAGGAATTAAAAACAAGAAAGGAAAGCTAACTTCGGGCAGAGCCGAAGTTTATATACCCTTGCAGTTAAAACCGGATTTATATCGCAAACATCGGATATAGTCGGCCGATCATTATGGCAATAGGAATATATAATCCAATTTTTTACAATACAAAATCTAAAAAAAGTCCCAAACTTCTATCTTCAAAAATACGAAAGTTGATATTTCTACCAAGTACCATTTCCGATCGTTCAGTTATATGGCAGCTATAGGATATAGTCGGCCGATCCTAATCAAATTTGGTAGGTCGGATCAACTGACCAAATATATAATCTGTAGCAAGTAATCTGTAGCTTTCTATTTTCTAAAAACACGAGTTGGGTCAAAGTTGGGTCATTTCCGATCGTTCAGTTATATGGCAGCTATAGGATATAGTCGGCCGATCCTTACGAAATTTCGCATGTCGTATTATTTTGCCAAAAATAGCTCTCACCTAAAATTTGAACTCTCTAACTTTAAAAACACCAAAGTTATATCATTTCCGATCAATCAGTTATATGGCAGCTATAGGATATAGTCGGCCGATCCGGGCCGACTTATATACTGCGTGCAAAGGAAAGAAGGGTGTGTGCAAAGTTTCAGGACGATAGCTTTAAAACTGAGAGACTAGTTTGCCGGACAGACAGACGGACAGACGGACATGCTCATATCAACTCAGGAGGTGATCCTGATCAAGAATATATATACTTTATAGGGTCGGAGATGTCTCCTTCACTGCGTTGCACACTTTTGACCAAAATTATAATATCCTCTGCAAGGGTATAATGAAACTATAAGACGTGGGGTTTGAAAAGAAAGGGTTGAGTTGCATACGGATTGATCTGACACCATTCTCTTTGGTGTGAAAAAAGTACCTAAGTGCAACTCATATGAAATGTATGCAAATGTTGCAAAATGTAAGTAAGACAAGGTCTCAAATTTCAAAGAGTAATGCCAAAACAAAGTGCGACAATTGAGGCAAAGTGGGGTTCATCGGAATTGAAGATGAGCCATTAGGGGTGAATGAAAGGACACTACAACAACAGCCACCACTGGAAAAGGACAGAAACATTAACATTGAAGTCCACACTCGTCGGCAGGGGAAATAATTGCAAAACAAACAAAAGAAAAACTGGCGGCGACCGAAAAATCATAAAAACTGTCGCTGCTTAGTTGCTCTTTTGGCGATGCCATTTGTCCATCATCCCAATCCCTAAGCAGAGGAAAAACAGAGGAAAACAGGAAAATCACAGGGCTGAGCAGAGACGAGGCAGAGCTGGGGCAGCGCAGTAGCTGAGCAGTCGGCGTAGCAGCCGGCAGAGGAAAGTCTTTGAGGAAAACACCAGCAGCAGCAGAACAGCGGTTGCTATTGCTATCCTGCCAAAAGGGATGCGTACTCGAAGACTGGGATTGGGTGCTGAGATGGTTCTTCAATTACAAAATTATTTCAAATTTCTGGGACATTATGTCCCAAGCACCCTGTTTTTGTTATGATATGACTAATTTGGCGCCTTTAAGGTCACTTACTTACAGTGCCACCATTAAGACTGTCATGACCCCCAAGATCCCAACCAGCATTTCAGTGTTCTGAGTACTTATCGCTGCCCTACCACTCCCCAACTGACTCCGTATTTGCGATGTCCTTTGAACAGGAGCACATTGCTTAGTGGTAAATGCTGAACGCCACACAGGAGCTAGTTTCAGAATGAGGTTTTTAAGGGACGGGCTACCAGCCCGCCGCTCTTGTCCTTGGTTCTGGGAATGCCTAATACTCCCTTTTACCACGAAACCCGCAGGTTAGAGGTCCCATTCCTTTGCCTGTCGTATTTTCACTGCCCGTCTCTGATATGCCAACGTTTTTCAAGGCCCGAGCTGATGCCACATTCAAATTTCCACAACAGATGTCGTGACAGGTCCTGTGGCCTGCTCCTCACCAGGTTGAGGACAATGCGGCGTATGATTGTTCGACTGTTGGTGTGAGAGTGGCCTGTGGTCTTGGACAGTCTTTTACTAAATTTCTGTTCCTGTTTTAAAGCACACAAATATGGCAGCAGTTGGCCAGCATTTGGCCAACGGAAGTAGACCAATTGAACATAGAACGCCCTGCAATCAGGAATCAGGAATCGCATCCCGTATCGGAGGTCATCATCAGGCATCAGTCGTCGGGGGGCGGATAGAGGATGGCGGATGCCTGTCGCAATAAGCCATGGCCGGAACAAATGTCGCTGGCTGAATCCGGAGGGGATCCCCGCCTTCCGATTGGCCAAAAAGTGTTGACAATGCCATTTCTCAGCGGAGGAGGAATCGTGCCTTCGGCCGGAGGCAGCTGTCCCGACTTTTCCGAGTGCGCTCATTTTTCAGAAGGACTGAGCACCAGTTTTGATTAATGGTCAGCCGGTCTAAGCCGGCGGGGACTTTTTTATTTGGCAATTATGTTGTTTAGACCTCGGCAACAGATTTCGCACCTCGAACATTTTTCATGCACCGAACACGCCCAAAGCCCAACGCCCAATGGACTTTGATTTCATGTTTCGAGGCTTGTCACTGGCATGCGCCGTCATTAATTCTCCCACCGCCTGCGCTCTCCTCGATATCTCTACCTAACATTGTCTATCCGCTTCCCTGTTATAGCCACTTTCATTTTTCAAACGGTTTTTGGCTTTTTCCGACACTTGACAAGTGTTTTCGACTTGCGGCAGAAGGTGTCACAAGCAATAGACAGACTTGAGGTGACGGCCCGAAATCTGCCACAAATCGTTTCCTCAACGCATTTTGGGGGCGTTACATTATGCAAATTTTTGGGGCTTGAGCCAATAATCTCTATAGACTATGTTTTATCCTAAATAATATGGCTTATACCATTGTCTTTACTTTGTTTTTACTATAGATATTATACTTAAGATATTTTCTTAGTGCCTGCTTTAGTGTACCATAATGCCCAGTTCACCTAGACATGACTTCAATTCGCAACCACAAATGGCAATCGGATAAAACTGACACGTGCCACTACCACCCCCATAGCTTTCCCACTCCCCCCAATATCCGCCCCGATTTGCAATGGTAATTAGCACATCGACTGCGGCATTAAATGGAGCGGAAAACTCGATTGTCTGGATTGCACGGGGAAAGGGTGTGTTTAATTTCCGAGGACAGACGGTCGTCAACGAAATGATAGTGATAGCCGTATTAGATTTGGTCAAAAGTTATCAATCGATATATGAAACTATAATGATAAATATTATATTTTCAAAAGTATATTTTGAAGATTTTAATAGAAGTTCATTCATTTTTTAAACAAAGTATTTTTTAATAAGAATAAACTACTGCCTCCTAAATTTTGAATAAATCCGAGTATCCAATCTAATCGATACTTGGCTTAAACCGATTGCTTACATTTCCATTGGGTTCCGTTGTGGGCCAGGGGACTATTGATTGTGGGCGAGATTATAGTCCAAAATCCCCGAAGGCCCAGCACCTCATGAAAGTTCTCCCGGAATCCCATATCGTAACTTTCTTTCGATTTGCTGCAAAACATTGTGTTATTCCGGACTAACCACATTTGATAGCCAAACTTGACTGCCGCAAACACGAAGGACACGACGTTGACATAAAAGATGACAAAAATGAAATATTTTAGATGTATCTCTTCCTTTCCAAGACCCACCAGCATTTCAACAACAAGGACATATAGGACTATAGGATCTATCAGGGTTAATTGTCCGTAGTTCACAGTATATATGAGATTGTAAACCAAGGCCAAGCCGGTGCCGAAAGTAATGTAGAACAGAAACCAAATAAAGTACCGATGGTTGTTGTGGCCGATGCAGCAGCCCGTGAAGTTGCAGTGGTGATCTCGCTTCAGAACACAGCGGTTGCATATCTTGCAGTGCCACGATCTGGGGGGCATAAGCAAGTTGCAAGGTTCGCAGCGGCTCCACGAGTACTCCTCCCCCTTCCGTGGGGTCAGTTCTGTTGCAGATAGACTAGCAACCCAGTTCTTGGTCCTGTTGCACGCCCACAAGTTTCCCAGGATATTAAAGACAATCCACGCACCGAGAAATCCATGGAAGGTCTGTCCAAACGATCCCATCATGGTTGGCAGCACGATGTAAATACCGTATATGTAGAAGAAAATGGTCAGAAAGATAACCACTGTGATGGCGAGGGATTCCAAACAGGACGTGGAGGCTTTCATGAGGCGGTTTGTCGAGTAGTGGGATGGCTGGCTCTCCTGACAACCCATGGCGCGAAGCTTGATCGAGTTACCCACAAAGTACATCAAAAACAAAATTGTTAACTTGTTGTGTTTTTGAGAATATTTCAAGTCTGATTAATATTACAAAGGTCTTAAAAATGATCATCTATTGACAAGCCCTTTAGATATAAATGTAGAAAGACTTAACCCTTTTTATTAATACTCATAGTATATAAGCGGATAAAAAGTTTATTGGAATCAGATGAATAACATTCTTATCTCCACACTATAATTTTTATAAAAATACCAATAGCTATCCACTGTTCTTTCGTTAAATATGTAATATGATCCCTTAATGGAAATATTTTTAGATTTTTTTTATTTGATGATCTTCCGCAGTTGCCACTGGGCGCCATCATGGGGCAAAGGGCTTTTTATAGAAGGCGACAGAAAAGTCCACAGGCCAGCTTTTCCCATTATAATATTTATGTTTTTCCGCAGTCCTAGATCATATCTGCCTTCTCTTTTGTAGAAGGACGCATTCCGGTAGATAATGCAAGTTTGGTTTACCAACATGATACCAGCAAGTGCCACGGAGAACAGGTTGAATGAGAATACAACGTTCTCCTTTAAATTGTACTTCACCATGGGCGAGTTTGATCCGGAAATCCAGATAAATATATTAAAGATAAAGGCTGGCCCGTGGAGCAAAATATTGTATTTAACCATGTAGGCGAAATTGGTCACTAAGGCCACGGCAGTTCCCAAGGTCACGTAGAAAGTGAACCAGAAAAAGTACCTGTGGTTGTTGTGCCCTATGCAATTGGCCGTGAAGATGCAGTGGTGGTCCCGCTTCAAGATGCAACATCTGCAAAATTTACAGTGCCAGGATCGTGGTGGTACTAATTGCTTGCAGTCCTCACAGTGGTGCCACAAGTGCTTCTCGTCAGGGCCTGGAACCAGACGATCCTTCGGAAGCCTCGCCACTGAGCAGTCCGTGCGGTAGCAGGCCAGCATGTTGGCCCAAACGTTGTAGGCTATAACCAAGTCCACGATCCAGTTGGCTTTGTAGAACCAGCCCTCTGTTCCAATCAAGTCGGGCAGCAAAAAGAACACCTCCCAGGTGAAAAAGAATACAGTGGCCGCGAACAGAAAAACTATCGAAATAGGATGCGCATATCGGATAAATTTTTTGGGATCGGTTTTTGCATAATACTGTAACAGATCCGATAAAACGCACATATTTATAAAAAATCGAGTATGTTATAGTCGAGTAAAAATGTTTCAATAATTTTTAGATAGTGTTAGTTGAAATTTGAAATAAATATCAAAGCAATGATGGCAATGAGTTTCTAAAAACGAATTTCTTTTTTTTAACTTAATTCCAGGCAGTATATTAACCTTTGAATTTATTTAAGCATAATCTAAATAATATTAATTTTTTTGCCACTGGGCTCTATGTACCACTGGGATCCATCGTGTGGCAAAGGACTCTTAATCGTGGGCCAGAGAAAAATCCAAAAGAGACGATTTCCTAAGACGACCTTAAGGTTTTGCCGCCAACCAAGATTGTAAGTCCGATCAAATATCTTGTAGCATGTACTGTTCCGACACGCCAGAATCATCTGAAAGGAAAACATGACGAGTGCTACCACAAATGCGAACAAATTAAGCTTGAAAATGGTGGCCACTACGAACTTCCAGCTCATAGCGTCGTAGTCGGTGATATTATTGGCCAAACTGGCTACCATAAGCAGTGGATCTGCTACTAAAAATGATCCGTATTTCCAGGTGTAGATCCCATTGTAAATAAGTGCCAGACCGCTGCCGAGGAACAGGTGAAAAACGAAGCCAAGGAAGTGCCGTTGATTTTTGTGCCCCACGCAGTTTGCCACAAAGGTGCAGTGGTGATCGCGCTTCAGAATGCAGCAGTTGCATGCTTTGCAGTGCCACGAGCGTGGCGGAACTTGCAACTGGCAGGTGGAGCAGTAGTGCCAGAGGTGAGCTTCGCCCTCAGCCGGCTTCTGGCGACCTATTGCCAGACTTGCCACCGAAGTGTCGCAGTGGAAAGCAGCCCACATATTGCCTAGGACATTGCAGACGAGGAATACCACCAAGAGCCAGTGTAAGCCATAAACGAGCCCCTCAGGATCGAATATCGTCGGGAGCACATACCACATATCATAGAAAATAAGGAAGAGTATCACTCCGACAAGGACCAAGGCGGAAGTGGAATGAAGAATGGCCATAAAGGTTCTTTTGTGCCTTTTCGTACAGCTCCTGATCGTCATACACACCCGATGTACCATCCTGCGAACGGGTCTACGAGGCCTTCGACACTTCACCTTCATTCGAACAGAGGACTTTTTTGAGTTCTGAGTCTTTTTCAAAAACGAAACTTTTATAATTTGATAAAGACATTAAAAGCGTGAACTAAAGCGATTTGCAAATATGTATTCAAGGCTATATATGAGGCTATAAGTGACTTAATCGCCTCTGCCATTCAGTCGGAAAAATCTTGCAGTCTGCTGGCCTTTTGGGGGCTGGGTTGCCAAATTCAATTTCTTTTCGTTTTTAAGCGGATTAGAGCGAAATTACATTTATAATTGCTAAAAAGGTTTGGAAAAAAAATCCTGAAAGACAAATTAGAAAAGGCATACATGTATATGCGTCTGCTGGGGGAACAAATGAAAAGAGCATTCAAGTAGACTAGAAATTAATGATAGAATTGTTGAAGCTTTAAAAATGTATGTTTCAATAACTTTTCCCAGAACAGAAACTATATAAAAACAAATTCAGACGATTCAGATTCAGTTTTCAGACGAAAAGTGAAATCCTATAGCCGTTATATGCCATGTATGAGTATCATTTCAACATGAAAATATTTTTTAAAAAGTGCACATGTAGAATGTATGGTCTTACAAAAATAAAACAAAGGAGGTACATGGAGGTACAGCTTTAAGGGCCGGGGCAGAATATGATGATTTTGCAGCAGCTGTATATTGTGTAAACAAAGGAGCAGCATAAAAAATAAAAACAGCGAATGCATATCAAATATACAAACCAGCTGGCAGAGTCGACTTCATTGGCCCCACCGACCGCAAAATGGCAGCTGTCAGCCAGGTTTAGACCGCAACAGCGACTGACAGAACCGGCGCAAATGTTGTCTATTTCGCATAAATTTTTATGAATTATTAATATGAACTAAGCATTTTGAATGTGGTAAGGCCACCTGCCAGCCTGCCAGCGCGCCCGCCCGCCAACCTGCCAGTAGATGAAGGTGGAAAAGTCGCGGTTTTCCATTTCATGTTTTTAGGAAAGGGAGTCCTTGCCTACTGAGAGGGTTCCGTGGGTGTCGGCCGAGTGGAATAGAGTGGAGTGGAACTCTGCTTTTAGTTTGCATAAAATATGTGCAAGGACGGGAAGGACTTTCCTCACTTCGTGGCTAAATGTGTTTGCCGTCTTTGGCCCAGACCGGAAGCAAACAAACAGCCATTTTGTGCTGTGCGGCGCTGCCATTTCCGGCGCAGAATCAGCCCCTCCCTCAGACATGCTGTCAATGTGTTTGTCAGTCAACCTGTGGCATGACTTTCTCCCAGTCCCATTTCGCTTTCTCTTTGACTTTGTGCGGGCACTTCAAGTCATTAGCATTTGCTCACAGAAGACACACAAAATGAAAAAAAAAGGAACCAAGAGAATGGTGTGCGGAGTTGGCAACTGCTTTTTGGCCAACTTCTCGCATAATTGCCGAGTTTTGCTGCTAATTTAAGATGATTTTCCCGCCAGCCTCCCAGTTACCCAACTCCCAGTTGGTGTCTTTGTTTCATTTCATTACAAGGAGACTCTCAACTTCAGGCAGCTGTGCTGAAAAGTTTTCGCAGTCTGTAGTCCACAGTCCTCAGGTTTTGTCCCTGTTCTGTTTTATATCCCAGGGTTATGCCCGGTGTGTTACTGTGTAATTTGCAAGCAATTACCTGGTACGGGGCCACCCCCACATACATCAGCTCCATACCCACGGCGCGTCTCCTCGGAATGTAATTGAGTTTGAAAAATGTTTAAAATTAGATATGTAGGGCCCAGGCCGAGTGGTTGATACACGCATGGAATACCTGGTAAGAATTTGTACTTCAGGTACTCAACTGCGAAATACTCCATCTTATGGTGGCTTAATATTTAATTATAATTGGTAGAAAATAGACATACTTTTGGTAAACAGTAAGCCACATGACCCAGTATGATATTTTAAATAAAATATTTATTTAATTTAAAATATGAAAATCACATTATTACACATGTATTTAACCCAAGAAACTGATAACCCCTTTGAACCCTCTAAGCAATATAACTCCCTCTAAGCACGCAATTTATTTATGAACATTATCTTTGTTGGGCCGAGGAGTCTCACAACCGTAAGTATCACAACCGTATTAGATTCCCTTCTCAGTACTTTATTTTATGTTTGTAATTTCATAGCAGGGAAAGATTGTAAATACTGCGACACATGCCTGCCGGGTGTGCTATTAATATTATTACACCGAATGCATACACATGTTTTATTTTTTTTTTGGGTTAAGACCCTCTCGGCAGGACTCGACTCTGCTCTGCAATTAAGGCGGTGGCCAGGATGGGGGGCTTAAGACCAGCAGCACACTTTAATTTATTCTGCTATTTATCTGAGCTAGCGGCAAAACATTAATTTTGCTTGGCTCCAACCTGTTATTGAGCTGGGAATTGCATCGTTCGTCTAAATGCTCGCTCGACACCTGGCCCCGATATATTGTGCTCGGTTGCTTCGAGCCAATGCAGCGAGCAACATTTTAATGAACCATCAAACGGCAATTGAAGCTGTTCAATGCTCCGGGCTCACGTTGCGTATGAGTGATTTTGCAAAGCGAGCCAGCTTCCAGCTGCCAGCTGCCGAAGTTCTTGCCATTTTGCGACTGTATTGGTTTCGTCCTGGAGATTTCGTTTCATATTCCTCTTCTTGGTGTGCTGTTTAGGGCCAAAATATGTTTGGCTGGCTGGCATGTAAAATATTTGGCACTTGGCACACAAAATGGCTTGTCATTTGGGCGAAATGAGTTGGAAGTTTTACGTAAACGAAGCGAAATTTTCATTTTTTTTCTCCTTGGTACGTTGCAAAACATGTTTTATTTTTTACAATCACTTTTTTTTTGTGGCATGGCGACATTTTTGTTGTCAGCTACTATTACTGCTTTTGTTTTTGCTTTTGTTTCATTTCCGTTTTCATAAATTTTTCATTTTGTTTGACAATGTTTTGCGCCTTCGACATGTGTTTGCAATTTGCATGAGGTGAGTGTGTAAGGGGGCCATTGGCTGCTGTGTGTTGAGTGTGTGCGAGTGCAGAAATGCGAACGAACAGGGACCGCTTTTTGCACGGGGACCCTTGGAAACAATGTTTGCTGATTGATACTCTGCGGGAAGTAAGGTATTTTACTTATTTAATAAAAGCTGTCTTTGAATTGTTAGATATTAATTTGAGATATTCTGGGATATTTATTTATTTGGTTTGGAATGCAATATAAAATTCAAAAAAAATCTCATTAGTTATTCTCGTATCCCAGCTATTTTATTGCCATTTAATATGGACACTATTTTACCTTCACTACGATGCATTAAGGCATCTATTGAGAATAGCAAATGATTCTAAATCTATCGCACTTTTGCAAATTTCAGAGTGTATTTTATTGTCGCACTGACCTCTCGGGCGACCCATCCATTTCAATATTGACATTCGCCTATATGTGTGAAATATTGAAATTGTAATAGTAATCCAGAATGGCGGGCAGCACTTTGGGTTTTTCATTATTTTCATAGATTTATTGCGAAAGTTTTCTGATTACATTCCTTTTTTCCCCGCAGCAGCAGCCTCTTTTTGCGTTTTCCTCTTATTGTTGGCGTATTGTTCGCGCCATTTCTAGGGCACCCATTTTCAGTTGACGTGAAGCAGACCCAATTACTGATTGACTTTTCCTCAGCTGGGCCGCCGTAAAGTTTCGAAATGGAAAATGGGAAATCTTTGGGATTTCGCATCTTAAACAAGTGAAGTGAACTATCCCGGGCTCGCATAGTTATGCTGCCTGAAAAGCAATTAAAAACTAATTACAGTAGCTGAAAGCAGTCGCCGAGGAGGAACGCAAAAATGCGCAAAGGCATTTAATAAAAATTTAAAACTTAATTCAGTAAATGCCAGACAACAACAACTGCCAGGTGGGTGACAACGCGGATAATTAGGCCAAAAGGCAAGCAAGGAATGGGGGCAGGATATGGCAGGAGCTGCAGTAACGCACACCTGACTACCTGACTTTCTTCCATCCGGGCAACGTGGCGTATGAGCAATTAGTAGTTAATTGTAAAGTTACCCCATTTGATGTGAAAGGGGCGGTAGCAGGGCGGGGCGGATGAGCATGCAGTCGTGACATTGACGTCGGGAACGAGCAAAGGACAAAGGAAGGGATAATTAAGTAGCAATTTTTGCCACTGCAGCTGAATTTTTAGCAGCGAACGTTACGTGCCAGTGGTGTTTTTAGGGGCGCGTGTGTTTGATAAATTATCGCGTGTAATTAGCGTATCAATGGCATTTATAACAAAAGCCAGCTAAGCCAAGCTAAAAATAATAAATTATCGACAGTTGGGTGCCAGGTGCCGGGTGGCAGGCTCCAGGATGGCGTCCAACTTTGATCTCCGTAAACGTCAATTAAATATTTACCTAATAACTCAGACTGCCTCAACTACCGGATTAACTCTCGCCAGGACAGCACTTTAAGCAGCGCTCCGACTAATTGAAATTGAAAGCCCGACTAAGAAGACTAAAGTCCTTCCGATGGGGGACCAGGGATGTGGGAGCAACAAACGGATAACTAAGCAAGGCGATTAAAAGACCAACTAACCGAGAAATGAACAATGGCCAGTGGGTAAGCCAAATAAAAATCAAACACGCAAGATGCTGAAACAAATAGCAGGAGCAGCCAGGACTCTTATGTAAGCAAGTCGGAGCAACAACACCGAAGGACCGTTGACAAAAATCAAACAATGAAGGCGCTGTTCAATAAAAACAAAAACAGGGGAAAAGCCGGAGCTGGAAGCTGAAAAAAAAAGGGCAGAGATAAGAAGCATCAGGCAGCAAACGGGTAGCCCGAAAGAGGCAAACAGATGATAAAAAACAAAAGCGGGTTGGCAAGCCCGTTTTTCTATCTTTCCGCCTCCTTTGGGCCAAAATGAAGTGGCAACAAAAACGGAGTTGTGGGCACAAAAAACAAGGGTCGTCTGTGCAAGGAATGTGCTGGCTAATGCTAAGGGCATACGAAAATGAAATTTAAGCCAAGTGACACCAACACATATACGGCAAGGACATGAAGTGTGAAAAGCACTTGACTCAATAGACACTCAATGACAAGACTCGTTTTTGCCGAGCGCAGGATTTGAGTATTTTTTCACCCAGCATCCCTGTTTGAGAAAAAGAGACTGCGAGAGGATAAAGCTGTCGAGGAAGAGCTTTTATGCAGGGAGAGGACACGAGAGAGAAAGGATTTTCTCCCATAAGAGAGTTGCTCTTTCATTTCAATTTTTGGCCCACACTCTTAGGACCTGCAAAGATTTAAATTCTTTGCGTGTTTCACAGTTTATAGGATAAATATTAAAATCCTGGCCAAACTGCAGTAATTCAATTAGGGTCAATATCTCGTCGCTCAGGCAAAGTAATATTTTCCCAGCTTCCAGGCGATTGAAAAGCAAACTTGTAAATACACAACATGCCACAGTTTGGTAAATGTAAATAGGCTCCTTGCTGGGATCACATCCTGGCAGTCCTGCAGACTAATAAGTTTTCAATAACTGTCTGGCCCAGGACGGATGGGATTTATCTTAGTGGCCCGGCTGATTACACACGGCTAATGCAATTAGGGTCTTAACCCTTTTGGCGCCCTGGTGATGGATCGGCTTCTGGTTCTGGTTCAGCTACTGGCTTGTGTGTGTGTGTCGTTGCTCAACTAATCCGTTTTAATTTTTGCGCCTCGTTCTTTGAACTTTGACCGGCAATGCCACACCCACAAACACATGTCACAGCTGCAGCGGCGCCTAAAAGAATGCTTTGTTTGCCTTTCATTATAAGGCAATGTCTTTGTTTCTGCTCCATCTTCGCCCCGGTACTGAATAAATTACATTTTTGCTCGGCGTGTAATTCGCATGCCATGTGTCATTGACACCCACTGGCCCATGAAAAGGTCACGACTTCCCCTTGCCCTTGCTCGCTTTCGTTTGTTTGTTTTGGAGTCCAGCTTAGGAAACTCATTTGGCATTTGGTTATCAATATTAAATTACAATTAAAACAAAGATGGGAAAATTTAATGCCGATTACTAATTAAAATGCAAAGTCAGAGCGCTCTGGCGCCCTATTATTATTTTCCTAATTTCGTTCTCGACTAAATTTATCGATTGGCCGGAGTGTTTGAGTTCGCACTTAATGAAATCATTTAGCGCTGGAAAAAGAAAACACGCAATATCAAGCATACGCCATGTGGCAAAATTCATTGACTTCTGGCCGCTCCTAGCCTGGCCAAAATGAAAATGTTTAGTCAAGTGTTGCCTGACCTCCCACACCACCAGCACACACACAACAGCATCACATACTCAACATGGCGGCAGGAAAACACAACAAAAACAAGGAGAACAGGCAGAACACCCTTGAGGCAGGCTATTTTTAAAGGTTGATGGCTCGGGGAAAATTCATTTGCCTAGTCCGGTTCCTGTTCCTTTCGGTCTGGCTTGGCTCTGCTCTGTTCCGCCTAACTGCGGTAATTACTCACACTTGAACCGAAGGTTTTAAGGTCCTGCAGTTTTGACCGGAATCAATTCAGTGGCTCAGCTGGCTGCAGATAAATTGAAATTTTTGGCTTCAAAGTGCGAGTGCTCCTCAGAGCTTCCCCAAAAGTATGCAACGGAACTATCGCAACCTTGTGTTGCAATTGATGAAGTGCGGCTGTGGAGCTTTAGCAATTTGCCCCACCTCTGGGCGGATTTATGGGGCTCGAGTTGATTAGATTAGAGGCAAGACTGTTTCTCATTCCGGTTTCTGATTAAGTGTTGGCCACTGAGCGATAATGCCAGTGGACCAGTGGACCTGAGGGCTGCTGGGCTGGTGGGCCGTTGGGCCGGAAACTGGCCACTGCCCTCCCTTGTGACAAATAAAACCTCTGACCTGGACTCGCCCGTAAGCCAGGCTGCCAGGTTATTAGGTAAATGTGGAACTGGCACAACTTTGGCTTCACATAAATCCACTTGTTATAGTTCACTAAGCAGACACACAGCATACTCACTCTCACACACACAGTTGCGAATAAACAATACTTTATTTACAATGTAACGACATATAAAATGGCTGCCGTTGCCATTTCTTGTGTCCTGTGCCCTTTGTTAGCCAAAGAGTCTGTGTACTCGGACTGTGTTCGCTTTTTCGGTTTATTTGCCAGCGGTCAGTTGCTTAATTTCTCCGCTTTTATTTGCCACAATTTCAGATACTGCATTGCCATATGTAAGTATGTATGTGGCAGGATAGCAGTGTGGCATGATGGCAGGGTGGGCGTGGCCCAGCCTCCTTATGCTCCTCGATTCATTTCTCGCTCTGCTGTGTCCTGCCTTTCTTATTTATTTTCGTAATAACAATAAATTACATTTTTCTTCGGCTGCGCCTCCTGCCCCACCCATTGTGAGTGTGTGTGGTGTGTGTGTGCTCATTTGCTAAGTTGTTTTATGTGGCTGTCGCTTGTTTGTGGCTTTTTGACATTATTTGGATTAAGAAAATAAATCCTGGCCCTGGTCCGACAGCAATTTTAATATTTTACTCCACACCCCGAAGCCAAACTTTGATTTTCATTTTAATCTCGTTTTTTCCCCATCCCATGTCTGTTTGCATTTTGGGGAAAATAGCAAAGTTTTAATCTTCGGAATGGCTTAAATCAAATTTCAGCTTACAGGACTAGAAAGTTTCACAACCTGTGGGTGTCATTGCAGCAAATATACAATTTACGAAGGAAAAACATTATTTTTGTATAAATAATCCATGATGTTGGCAGAGTTATTTATGAAATTAAAGTGGAAATACTACCTATAAATGGAAAATTCCATTTCAAAGTAAAGTTTATTAATTAAATGAAGGAACTCAACCTTGAAACAAATATTTTATATTGGTGCTTGACAATTTTTTCTGGAACACGTGTATGTGACAGAGTGTGTTTGCTTTTTATTATTTCCCCTTGAAAGTCGCCTATCTATCCTCAAAGAGAATAAAACAGCGAGGAGGATGAGGCGCAGGACGACGACAGGATACAAAGACAAAGTTGGCAGCGAGAATTGATGGATCAGACTGTTTTCTACGCTCCACGTCTCTGTCTCGGATTGAGGACACCGCCGAGAGAGATAGGAGGATATAAACAAGCAGATTTGCTCGCAGATACACACACACAGATAAAGACACATCCTGGGAAAGACAATCGTTGGGAGGCATGCATTAGGCTTAGTGGGGAATTGCGAAAATGTTTATGGCTCTGAAACCGCCACCGTTTATATTTTTTTTGCCTTTTTTCGCCATCTGCTGAATCGTTTGCCTAGTTTTAGACACTGCCTAGCTGGCTAAATGGGAAAGTTTAGCCTAATTGCACTCAGCTTTAATGCAGTTTTAAAAACCGCCACGCCGCCGGCAGACACATCATAATTTGGGTAATTTTCCAACAGCTTGGCTTGCATTTCGCACTAAAGTTTTTAATTAAGCCCAGTCCCGTGCAGGATTCTTTAATTTCCATACCCCCCGCTCTGCTCCCCTCTCCAGATTTCTGGCTTTAGCATTTTTTCGTTTATTTTTTCATCACTTTCTGTGGCAGACACGCACTCACAGCTCGGCAGGGCGTCCATTCAGTCACCCATTCATTCCACTCATTCAAAAAGGCTAAAGAATTCAAAAAATGTGTGTAACTATTCCAGTCCTTTGTGCCATTTGCCCTCCTGCTCGGTGGCCACCTATCCTAGCCTTCTCACTTGCAACCAAATGTGCTGCGCTTTTGTTTAAGCCAACTGTGTGTTTCGCTTTGTCATTTTGGCATCACACTCCCAACTCCCATCTCGGCTCATAATTCAAAGAGCTCCTGGCGGCAGCCATGTTTTATGTTTATTAGCCCGTCTAATTGAAATCTGAAATAAGGGAGTTTATGAAAGCGCCGTACAGGGGTCGCATTCCCGCTTCATTTGGCATAGAAACCCTCAAACTGCTGCGGATCCAGGAGTCCTTCGCGCTCGAATTGCACCACCAGCTGGCGTACGGAGTCCTGTATGCCGGCGTGTAGATACAAACGCCTTTTCATGTTCATACCACGGGGCTGGTCGGAGAGCAGGGCTGCGAAATCAGCGTCCGCATCATCGGTGTTCAGTAGCACGGGTTGGAGGAGCAGTCCGCAGTGAACAGCTGGCAGGACCAAAAATAAGCAAAACCATTAAATTATTCATTTTTTAAAATTCATAAGTACGTGTAAAATGAACAGATTCTAAAGTCTTCATTTACTACCTACTCCCTAAATAAAGCCTTAAGTAATATATGCAAATAATAATTTTAATGAGAAAGACTACCCACCGTAAAAGCGCTTCTGCTCCGACTCCAAGTGAAACTGCTTCCGGCTGGGCAGTCTCTGACCTTTGAACCCAAGTCGCCGCAGCTCCCGCACAAACACTTCGTGGTACACGCATCTCATTTCCACCTGAAGGTCGCTTCGCACCCGCTCCACCGCCGAGGTGTTGACCAGATGATGGATGTCCAGAGTGGGCGAGCCCCAGAAGGCGTACTGGAAGTCAATGAGCAGAACATCCGTCGGCACGCCCGCCTCGTACTTAAACATCATGTTGTTGGTCCAAGCATCGCCGTGAGTCAGAACGTTGATGTGTTCCGCTTCGGGCTGAAAACAGCGCAGTCCTAGTCCCATGTAGTAGGGGACAAGATCCTCTAATAATTGCGCATGCTTCTCAAAGCCCGGCTCTGTTTTTAGGTAGCTGGCACAGGATTTCAGGCAGCCCAAAAAATAGGCACTAAAACTTTCGGTGTAGCGGTTGAAAAAACCGCGGTCGTATCTTTTCAGAGAATTTTTTTCGTCTCTGCAATCTGATTCAAAGACTGCCGAGGCTGCTTGCATTTTGGCCAGCTTTTTGAGCACCAATCGCACATGGTCCCCATCCAGCCTCTGCAGTCGCGGAGCCATCTTATATCCTTGATACGTTAAGTCCTCCATTAGAAGAGATCCATGCTGGCGATCAGAGTGCCACACTTTGGGGCAAAGCGGTTCCCCAGCTAATTTTTCCAGCTGGGGGAGAACCCTTTCATAGATCTCCAGCTCTCTGTTGTAGATATCGTAGGGAGCCTTGCGCTCCTTGGTGTCCAAGTCCTCATCTTCCAGTGCTGTCTTTGCCATCAAATGCTCTTCCATTTCTGTACCATTTCCTAGGATGTAAACTAGGTCGATTTTTGTCAGAATGGCTCCATAGTTCTCCCCCTTTTTCAGGGCTGGTTTGAAATCCACAGACTTGACCTTAACGTGGTCATCAGCGTAGTGCTGGCGCAAGGCAGCTTCTAGATATTCCCTCGTTAGCCAAGCAGGTGCAACGGCTTCCATGACTGAACTGAGCGAGTTGAGTTCTGATTGTACAAATCTCGCAGCTGCTGAGATACAATTAAGATTTATTACCAAGTGGCTTTCGGATGATAAGAAAATAAACAAAGGAACTCAGTTGTTCTGCTTGTATACATTTCTAAGTCGTTTATAATTGGCAACATAATATAAGTAGAACAATATCGCCAACTTATTCAGAGCTAGAATTATAAAATAACAATAGTTTTAAGTCTTATGGACTATTAAAACAATTAGAGTGAAGGTATTGATTTATATTGATGAATATACATAGCTTTTCCCGGGGGCATATTGAAACTCTTATAGATAAGAGGTTTAGGTCCAGAGGCAGAGACCTTAATACTGTTACAGCCCAAGTAGCACAATAGGGTTATTGAGAGGCTATGTACAAATGATGGAATTATGAAATAAAAGTTAAGCAACGCAATTAGTGTTAAAGTATTGATGTATTTTAATTAATAAAGCTTATAAAGAGTCACCTGGCATTGTTTTCAATGCACATCTAGTAGCTTATAGATAAGAGATTTGTTTGGTTGCTTTATTAGGTTATGAAATATATATTAAAAGAGTATCTTATATCACGCGGCATAGCAGCTAGCCCTACACAAGATGCATTTGATTGGCCTAGTCATTTCCAGCTTACTGGCTGCCAGAAACAGAACCAGGTCCAGAGGTAGAGACCTTGGCTGATGCAGCTACCAATTCAAGACTCAATTCAAATCTGGCTGCTTGTTGCAAGTGCTGCTACTGGTAATGGTGGGCCGCCTGGTGGCACACTGATAGACGTAGTTGGCCAACAAGACCGCAGGGTGGGCAGCCTCAGAACCAGCATCCTTCCTGGCAAGGATATCCATTGTTGGCGTTGCTGGTGGCGTTACGGGTTCTGCCGTTTCTGTTGCATTGCCGGGTAGCAATAATGACGGCGGACGGTTGCAGCTGGGTGCACCGTGACCGCCGGTGGGCGTTGGCTTTGGCTGCCACATGTGGCGAGTGCCCCGCAGACAGTTGGCCTCCATCGCAATGACTACAATGATTTGGAAATGGGTCTCGAAATAGAATCGGTCGGTAGTCTAACCCACTTACCGAAAGAGTGGCTGAGCATCCAGCAGAGAATAAATTTCCAGTTCATATTTTCCCTTGTTTCTCGTTCAATATCCAGCTCTGTTCAGATCCTTTGTATTTTCTAGTTTGTGTTTTTTATTCAGCTTTTTGTGGCAAGGACTACTGCCACTCTGACTGGGTTTAGAAGTTTCTTTGGTGGAACTTTCGACACTTGTTCTTGTTGATGTTTTTATCTGCCGGAGTTACTTCTGCTGCTGCTTCCTCAACTGAAATCCATTCAAATTGACGCATTGACAATTGTTTTACCAATTTCATTTCGCTTGTTTTTCGACAGTTGGCCAAAACTTTGTACCCTCTGTCCCCTACACTCTGTACACTTCCAACCAGAACTGTGCTGAGTTGTTGCTTCAAGTGCCACTGTTGGCGCATTTGTTGCAGCTTAAAGTTGCTGATGCCACTTTTTGCTCGTCCTCTATTTTTTTGCCCCTTCTTTGCATTGCCAGAGCGCTAGTTTATCAAAACATTTTCAAGTCGGAGTGCGGCTGCAAAAACAAAGGCACCCAAGACATCATCGATTTTCTCAAGTGGAATGCCTCCCCGGGGGCTTACGGCTAGGCGGGGGCCGACAAGGAAAACAACTCAATCTCAATGCATGGCACTTAAGCAGCTGGAAGAGTGACAGCAAAGGCGGCAGCTCCAGTGGCAGCTACTTGGTTGCAAGGTGCGGAAACTTCTACGACAGCAGAATGCAATTTTATGGCGGGTGGCTGCCACTGTCGAGGGAGGGGCAGCTCCGGCAGCTTTCGCAGATTGTTTGAAGCTTTGAAGCCCGATCCTAGGCAGCAAATTTGTGTAATCAGTCAGAGCCAGCTCAACAGCTATCTATTCAGCTTACCATAACTCTCATCTTCGTCCAGGATCCACTTGCGAATAGCTTCGCGGTATTAATTCATTGAGAAAGAAACCAATGCCAGAAACTTTGCTCATTATAATTACGCGGATGCAGTGCAACCTGCAGCTGACTTTACTCTCATACGCGAAAGATACATATTTAACTTAGCTTCATGTATAGTTCCAAAGCGGGCACGAGGGTAGATAAATATAAGAAGAACCTCTTAGATTTTTTTAATATTATTTTTTACAATAAATATCCTACCTCACTTTCGATAAATAGTATATTTTGTTTCTTTAATAGAAACGTGTAAGCCATTCGTAGGAATTCGTGTGACTTCCTAGGCAACCCTCGCGCCCAAGCTAGCCCCGGGCTTTGGCACCTCCGAGAACCGTATTCGGTATCCCGGGCAAACCGAAAAGGGGAAAATGGGTGGCGGCACACGGAAGCGGCGGGAAAACGCCTGGCACGTGCATTTCATTTGATAAATGTTGTCGTTGTCGACGTCGCCTTTGCCTGATTATGCAGCGCAGCCAGCCAAGGATGCTCCAACGGTATCCGTTTCCCCTTCTTCGAATCGTGCCTCCCTGGATGCCAAAACTTGCCCCGACTTCCGTTATGCCGGCTAGGGTATATCTTTTTATTGCACACGCGCGTGAAAATAAACCGCAAAAGGTGAGGAGCGTTACCGAGGCAGCTCCCTCCGGCTCTTTGTATGCGGCATCAGGTTTCTCTGTGTGTAAAATTTACACTGACACGAGCTAACTAGTCGTTTATTTATGCCAGTGTGTGTCCTATGGTGTATCTGTATCTGTAGCTGAGCAGCATGAGGCATGCGGCACGTTGCCGTTGTAACTTGCAACTTAAATGCGCACGTGATGCGCTGTCTGCGTTTGCTTTATTGCGTGAGCTGCTCAAAATTAACAAAGTTTTTTCCACCACTGGCGGCAGCTCCTGTCCCTGCTCCTTTGGACTGCGCCGTTTTTGTGCCCACCCGCCTGCCAGGTTGGCAATATGAATGAAGATGCCAGCAAACAAGCTAGAAACTCAAGAGAAGTGCGAATGAGCACGACCTAACATAATATCACGCATACGACACGTTGTCCTCGTCGTTGTCGTTGCTGTCGTTCCTGTTGCCGTTGTCGCAGTCGATGTCGCTGCGAATTTTTGATAGCTACTGCAATCAGCTAAGTGAGCCCCACGGCATAACAACAGTGCTGAAAATGATTAAACGGAAGCTGGCGGCTGCCAGCTCGGCAGCTCCGGCAGTTCAGCAGTTCGAATTTCCAAGTTTTGAGAGACAACTTTTACGAAAACCAGAAGACGCTGTTCTCAAATTATAATCAAGTTGCAAGGACGCTACAGAGAGAATAAAATAAAGCGAAAAGGATACTTGTAAATTGAGTTTAAAGCTTAAATATTTAAAAATTCCATTTTAAATATGTATCTCAAGGTTTCCTCTCCAAAAATATTCTCGAAATTCAGTAAAATGTAATGGAATTTTTTCCCTGTGTAATCAACATCTTATACTCGCGCCCAGAAATTGAAAGTCAACACGACAAGGCAGTGCGAGTGAGACGCAGCCCAGATATCGAAATCAAATCACAGCGTCGTCAAATGCATTTAGAGCTATTTGCATTGCTTGGAATTCCTTCTGCTCGCTGATTTCTGCTCCCTGATTCCATTCGAATCAGATTCAGATTCAGTACCAGATTCGGATGCAAAGCTAAGAGCACGTCGTCTCATATCCAGAGCATGTGTCTCTGGATATTTTTCCCTTAGCTTTTCGATTTTTTTGCGAGCATTGCAAATTGATTTTTACCGCCCGGGGGACATGCGTTTGACTCGTTTGACAGACATTCAACTTGAAGTTTATATTTTTCAAGTTTTGGGCCCATTTGCAAAAAATGTGCGAGCTTTTCCTGACATGATTTCTTATTTTTAAACAACAATACAAACATTGAAAATAGTGTTTCTGAAAGGACATCATCGCTCTCCCATTGCAGAATACAATTAAGCGATTGAGCTGGTAATTTATTAATTAACCAAATGGCATCCATTTTTGTGCTTAACGTATTTAATATTGCTAATTGGCATAAATAAGAGTAAACAAATGCAAGTGTGAAACAAGGCTTTACGGAAAAGGCAGGATCATTAATAATAAATACAAAAAAGCATCATGTGTTTGCAGCTGATTATGCAAACGCCCCTGAAAACAGCAAAAAAAATTGTAATTCATTGCAGGATTCATTGTCGCTTCATAGTCTTAATTATTGACAATAACTATGCATTAATACGGAACAAATGTATAAATAATGGCTAGGACAATTGTTTCTGCATTCAATATTACGCATACGTAATGATGGCCCGGCATATGTTCTTGTATTCAGTTCAACACAATTTTATGATCGAATTCCAACAACCTGGAAGCTTGTTTTCCCAACTAAATGGTTCAAACAGTAATATGATTTCAGGGGCTCAGCCTCAGGTATCGAGTTATTTTTAACGCAACCTTTTAAGTTGGACGAGGGAACACCGTGTTGAAATGAAGCTGCCGACATAGGATGCTGTATATAAGTGTGCCGAGGAAGCCAGTTCTTCCTTTACTTTTAATTGAACATTTTTAATTTATGCACAATAAAAACTGATTTACCGCCGGCTACCCGTTCGGCTAGAAAAAGTTCAACTTTAACTTTTTATGACTGACCCAAACAGGAAAAAATGACCGAACGCAGAAGGATGAAAAAAATGATGAGCCATAAAAGCGAGCGAGGTGTGCGTTTGTATGGGTTTATTCAGGTGTCTGTTTGGCTGGGCTTGGGGTGTGTTTCGGTGTGCAGGATATCTAAACTAAACTTTTGGTAGAGCGAGCAACTTTTGCTTTTTAGTGCCGGCAGCTTGCTTCATTTTACAGCATTTAAGTGGCCATGAATTTCCTGGCCAGTGAGCACTGAGCGACCAGTGGGCCACTGCCTGCCTGAAAAACGAGCGCGTGGCTCCATAAAGACCCCGTATTTCCTCCTCCTCCAACCTCTGTCCTCCATTCCCCAACCCCAAATCAAACCACCACCTGCTGTGTCCAGGTTTGTTTTAGTTGTGGCGGTTATGGCCAGTTTTCAGGCTACGTGGAACTACAATTGGTTTTGGCCATACTTTCGTCATAGTCATCGGCACACGTGCGCCGGAAAATGATTTTAGTTTGAGTTCACTGGCGGCATTAGATTGAAAAAAGCTATCAAAGCACCTTTTATTAATACAACTCCTCTTGCAAAAAGTATACAGCTAAAAGTCTCTTCTGAATAATTTAGTGTCTCATCAAGTGTTTCTAATTAAATGCGACATGGAATTTTCTATACTTTCGGAAAAAACTAAGACCCTGTAGTTCATCAATAACTTTCCAACCATGATGAACCGACACCTGAGTATTTTCATTTTTGTTCTCACAGTGATTCTATCCGCCCTGAACGCCCAGGAATCGGACTATCCGTTTATATATGTCTGCCACAGGAACAATCCACACTGTATTCTCTTCAAGCCGTTTAATGAAACGATTCCTAAGGACAAACTACAAGAATAAACTCAACCCCTCCGTTGTTCTATCTTAGTCCTCAACGTTAAAAACTATATCACTCCCGTATTATCTTCTATGGAAACCTAAAATAAAGGATAGTTTTTCTTTAAGAGGCTTTTCATTTTAATACAACATAGTACCAGTTATAACCTGGATAAAGCAAACCAGCTTAATACTTATGTATCCTATTTTTATTACTTACCAAAGCATACGCCATTTGCAACATTATTCCAAAGATCTTAGGGTATAAAAAAATATAGCACAACGATGCATCACTCTGTCAGAGGTGGGAGGTTGTGGCATTTTGCATTGCATTGTTGTCCTGACAGCTGCAATGAAATGACGAAGATGTATGGTTGTAAAGAACAGAGGGGTCGGACGAAAAAGAAAGCTGGATGGAAAGTAGGTGAAGTAGCCGGGAGAAAGTGCATGTTGTCGGGCTGGCTACCATGTTGCTGTGACAACTAGCAGGGAAGAAGCCTGGGCGACAGCCATCCAAACGGGCGACACTCGTCCCGCCCTAGATCCTTAACTCACGGATGTCCTGGCCATCTGCATTCAGCTTGTTTAGGATTTTCGCATTTGCCACACATACAGCTCTCACACTGCACCCTCTGACATTGATTTGACGTGCAACACATTAGACTAATGAAAGTTT